GACACATGATTAGCATGGCGATGTAGATCACCACCACACTAAAATGTTGATACCATGATAGGTGAGGTGTGGGAGTGTCACACACCTTCCCCATCTTGTTGCGGCATATAGTGTTAGAGCAATGGCGTTCTTTAGGAACATGGGTAGTGGATAAGTACAGACAGCATGCACAATATTCCAAGTGTGTCCACAAGGTACAAGGTACTATGACAACTATAGATTGTTGCTTCACAGCACAACATTCCATTGCAACGTATCTTTTTCTTTAAAATACAAAGTATAATACAGTGTATGGATCTCTCATCTGTAAGTAGGATCTTAGAAGTCAGAGCATGGCCAGTGAAGGATCCTTTAGTCACCAGCAGGATGGTAAGAGGTTTTGAAAAGGTATATAAGTGTAGAAATGTCTGGTCCTCCAAAGCTGCTTATAGTGTTAGTTTTACTAGATTCCTGATGTGGGAACCCTGGGATAATCAGTTGTATAGCCAAGGCAGAGTACTAAACATTCGATGGAATCAAAGCTGAGGACAGGCCAAATGTCAGGAACCAAGGGGACAATCAGAGCCAAACCATTCAGGTCTGTTGCAGTGCATTTAACAAACACGCATTGCGTTAAGGCAGCCCATTCATATGAATGGGCTAATGCACCGCAATGGACCAAAGTTGGTGCATGCAGCATTTTCAGCAGAACACTGCAGCACACAATAGCGTGGGTGTACCGGGAAGGTGCATTTGGATGCCATTCAAAATGACTGTGTTCCAGGAATGAGCTACGAGATTTGCATAAGAATGAGTCAAATGATGTACATATTTATGAATGTATTTATATGCAATACCCATGGTTCATTCATATGTAAAGGGAGAGAGGTGAGATGCTGCTCACCCACATTGTGCACCCTCACTTCCCCCATTGTGCACCCACACAGACACCTGGGCACTGGGGTCCACTGTGGGAAAGGAAAAGAGGGATTAATCATTTTGGGATGGAGTTTATTACTCTACCTTCTTACACCAACTTTGGAACATACAGTATATTCTCCCACTGAGCAGGAGTAAGGGACACTGTATACGCTATGTCGTACATTATGCTACTGACCATTGCACTGTATAAGCTATGTTATACACTATACTCCTGGCCCCTGCACTGCATATGCTATTTTTTAGATTATACTCATGTCCCCTACACTATATACGCTATGTTACATTATACTCCTATATGCTGTAGGCTCCTGCTGTTGTTATGCCTGGTCTGGAGGTATGAAGCACCTGGTTGGACGGAGTCTTCTGCCATGGCTTTTGGGATATCTCTTTATATTTGCTTAATTGAATCAATGGTCGACAGGATTGGGTTGGAGTAGCGGTTCATTCAGTTGAGTTCTTTCTTCATTATTATGCATTACCTTGTGGTCCCACCAAGGTCCAACAGTGAGGAGAGGTGTTCTCCTTGATGTTCGATGCTCCCTCATTATTGTATATATGTTTTGCAAAGAACTGCCTTAAATCCCTTGAAGAATGAGCTACATGCCATCAAATATTATCAAGTATACAAACGGTATTGATTGTTCAAACATGACATGGAAATATATGGACATTATATATAGATAAATTGATCTGAAATGGCTGTGGCTATGTAAGGCATTGTATTATTAGGTGGGGAACACACTGGGAAATAAAATGGGAAAAGTATGTTTTATGCATGAAGGACTATAGTATGTTTTAGTTTGTACATAATAAATTATGGTTTAATGATCTTCGAATGTGTGCCTCCTGTAAACCCCAATATATAAACAATGTGGAGTAGCACTTACAATAGCATGCTGGGCGCATTGCAAAAAAAGGTGCCCCTGGAAAATTTTTGTAGATATTGACAAAAACATGGTGACTACAACAGATGAACAAAAAAAATAAAGATCTGACAAAACAAAAAATGTCCCTTTAAAGCAAACCTGAAGTAAAAAAAAGATTTCTTACTGCTGCCATTGAAAAACAAAATTACATTTTCAACTCAAACACTTGTTATTGGACACTTCTGCTTCTCTGCTGTGGCCGAGGGTGGCTTCTGGGGCCACATTATAAACAATCAGTCTCCCTGCCTGATACAAAAACTGGGTTGGCCATGGTAAAAAAAATTGGAATGTCATAGAACTAGCAGCCGCTTGGATGGGGATGTTGCCCACTTTAGTGAACAGATATTTCAGGGTCACGAATGTGAATTTTTTTAATGGCAGCAGTGCAGGGGGTGAGGTTGGGATACAAACAATACAAAAGCAGAGGAAGAAGTGCTACGACCGAATGGGGAATAAAAGTGTGTGACTGAAATCGACAGGAAGTGGGATAAGGTGGAGGGGACGGTTTAGGATCGACCGTGGTGTACAGTAATGTATCGTGGTGTCTATAGTTGCTTCCGGGATGTTGTAGATTGGAATGGAATTGGAGATTGATCCGAGTTGGCTGAAAAAACAAAAAATATGGGGGTACAAACAATGACAACTGTAAAGTCAATGTTTTGCTATAAGTAAATTCTCAGGAAAAAATGAAACTGTAAAAAACTGGCAGTCTATCTAAAAACTTCCCAACATTACTTCCACCTGAGTCAAAATATGACAAAGATATTGCACAAGATTTATAAATAGTAAAACTGTTGCAACGGTTATGAAAAATAAAAATATGGTGAAAGGCTCTATAGAACACTATTTAAATGCTTCTACAAAGAGGTGTTAAAATATGGAACTACATGAGAGCCCTCTAGTGGCTTCTGTATAATGCGTCTACAGGTACAAAACTTTATGATTAGTAGCTTTTTTAAACTATCAAAATAGATACATTTGCCTCTTTTGTTTTCTTTTGTTTAATAAAAGCTTGCTTGGGGGTTAAGTTTGCCAGATCTCTTCATTAGTTTAGTGTTATTGGAGTCCACAGTTTTGTATCCATCATCCTTTACACTATTCAAATTTACCACAAGCTGCAAATGTGGAAATTATGAAAAAAAATATATAATCTTGTAGGGTTAGTACAGTACAGTACTACAGTGGGGTAAATATTTACTTGTAATATATTTCTTTTTGTAAAATTGGTCAGTTGTTGACAATTTTGTTCCTCAACTTAAAAAAAAAAATAATTCACAACTTCCAAAAGCTTCTTTGTCATTTTTCTAGTTTGTTAGCAAGTTAATTGCTGCTTTACTTAAAAAACAACAAAATTGATAAGAGGGATAATCCAGTTGGGAAATTAGCAAACCAAGAAGAATGAAAGTTGTCAAATGTTGCGAGATTTTGGCGAAATGCATTGGAGTCAATGGGAAAGGTGAAATGAAAGTGTAAAAAAACCGTGCATGTCAAACCCATGACATGACCATCACTTACATGGTTTGCTTTGTCTTTTTCCTGAAAGTGTATTTCCAATTTTGCAGCCAAATTTGAGAAGCCCCCTCTATATGTTTGTTATGTGACTAACAATAATGTTTAAAAAAAATATTTCCTACCTTTTTTTAAACTGGTTTTTTTTTAGGAGCAGAATTATACATAGGACACAACAGGCAGCTTCTAGTGGTTAGAATAGGTAGCAGCGAGCAGATAAGGAACACAGCGAGAGGCATTTTTCTAAAAGTTCATTAATCACTTGCTGACTAAGGTATGGTATGGCCAGGCCATTTTCCAGTAGTCAGCGATGAGGTACTTTGACTGACATTTATTCCGTCATGCAACGCTGTACTGAAATGAATTTTATACCATTTTTTGGGGGCAGATAGAGCTTTCTTATGGTGGTATTTAATCACCACTGGGGCTTTTATTTTTTTACTATATTACTGGAAAATTACTGAAAATTGTGAAAAATTGCCATACACAACTGCTCCAGATTTTGTCTGCTCTGGTTTTGATAAATTCCCCTCACAATGCCTTGTGATCTTTAAACCTTTGTTAGGATAGAAAGTCCTGCTCACCTAGTTTACAAGTGATAAAGAAATCTGCCAGCACAGTACAGTTCCCTAGGTTATGAAACATTTATATTTACCCAATTATTTGGGAAAATATAAAAGATGAGCTCATGTCGGAAAAACAGACACTAAACATGTTAAGCTTTATGCTGTGATTTTGTCAAACTGAATGCAGAACTCCTTCTTTTTCATAACCCTTGCAGAGGAGCTACCCCCCGCACTGCAAAGGTTAACTGCTCATTTGTGTTTAGGTGCGAAAATAATAGTTATACTCACCCAATCCTCGGAGCCGGGTGGGTCTTAGATCACTTCTTTTCTGCCGTGCTCCCCCTCCAGTGCAGCAGTCTAAGGTCCCTGAGTCATCATGTTCTATACATTGAGGGGAATTTGTCGAAACTGGAGCAGACAAAAACTGGAGCAGCGGTACATGGCAACCAATCAGCTTCTCTTTTTCACTTTCAAAGCTTACCTGAGCAAAGTGAAAAGAGAAGCTGATTGGTTGCCGTGCACAGCTGCTCCAGTTTTAATAAACTCCCCCATAGTGTATAGAACGGTGAGGAACAAAGCATCACTTCAGCGGAGGAGAGAGGCGTAAGGGACCGGTCTAAGAGCAAGCTGTCTCCAAGGATCGGGTGAGTATAGCTTTGATATTTTTGCACCTAGACAAAAATGAGCACTTAACCCTTGCGGTGCTGGAGGTAGCCTCACTGCAATGGTTATGAAAAATTTCCCCCATGGTTCTGCTTTAACATAATTAGAAAAAAGAATCAAACACATGTCCACAGACACACATATCCACATGCAGATTAGCAGCAACAACACTTCCGTATTTGCTCAGAGGTAACTAGAAAAAAAGTGATCTCTGGACTGTGCCGGGCTTCAGTACACAGCGATCAGAGCTACATCAGGTAGAATGACATAGAGGGAGGCAGACAGCACGATGCACACCTCAGACACGCCCCCTTCTCCGGGCTCACGAGACTAGTCTGGGAGGTGAGCGAGGACAATGCTGAGCAGCCGTCATGTGATCAGGAAGTAAGTCATGTGATCTGTTCAGGTCACAATGAGGAAACAAGGCTAATAAAAGTCTATGGGCTGATCACAAGTACAGGTAAGTAATGGAAATTTCTCCTTTAATGATTATCTAATAACACTGCAGACACAATAACAATGAGCTTACACTTGTTTACTCTATTAGGGGTGTTTTTATTATTAGATAGAACAGTTTGCACAGATATTGGAGTGAGTATTGTGAATAAACCAGTCCTACTACTGCTTACCTTATGGAAGATTTTGGTTTATAAAATTACATTTGTAATGTAGTTGCAGTATTCCTCGTGCTGCTGGAAGCATGAAATCATCATCTGTTGTTTAGGGCAGGAGAGGGATATGTGGAATACACAATGCAAGTGATCAGTGAGCAGGGTAAATGTTTGTGGTGAAATGTTCTGCATTTGCAGTGGTCACTTCTCCCAAAAATCAGGGGAGTCTTCTGGATTTCTGCTCCTGTCAGCTGAGCTTCCTGTGTGATATAGAAATCTCCTATGATTCTTCAGTCCATCTGATCCAGCCCTCCTCACTGTCCCGGGCTCCTGTCTTGCAAGTCTGGTCATTGATTTCTTTTCATATTTATATATTACAGGTATTTATATTAGTATTTATAAAATGCAGACAATTTACACAGTGCACATTCACATCAGTCCATGTCCTCAAGGAGCTCACATGCATACATACGAGGCTAGTTAACCTACCAGCATGTCTTTGGAGTGTGGAAGGAAACCAGAGTACCCAGAGGTAACCCAGCACAGGGAGAACATGCAAACTCCTTGCAGATAGTGTCCTTAATGTATGACAAGCATATTAGTTAGTGCATTTAGTTGTTTTTGTTTTGAAAAAAAGATTGGCAGCATTTAGTTTTGGATATTGCATGGGCATTAGGGATATACCGATACTAGTATCGGTGGGGCCGATACCAGGCCTTTTCGCGAGTCCTTGTACTTGTGAAAATGCCCCGATTCTTAAGGCCGATACCCGCCCTTTAACTTTTCAAACAGCATCGGCCGTCCGAGTTCCCGAGCTTGTGGGGACCTCGGCAGCCTGCTGGGGACCTGCAGATAGCTATCCATGGCAGTGCCTGTCCGGTTCTTTATCTCTTCCTTCCCGGCGCAGGCACTGCCATGGACAGCCCCAGGGGCGGAGCTACTGCCCAATGGCTAGAAGCTGGGGTTCCTGCCGCACACTGATGGGGAAGACTGGGTCGGGATATGGACAAAAGTCGCTGAGCCCAGCAGCGCAGAAAGTCGGCCGGACTGGACGTGGGGGAGGCCGGGTCCCGACATCGCCAGTGAGGTGGAGAGCCACTGCAGATGTCCACGTCGCCCTATGAGATCGACACGCAGCATGGTGAGAGGAATTCTGCTTTGGGGACATGTATTCACAGAACACAGGTTCCCAAAGCAGAATACATGTCCCCAAAGCAGAATACTAGTCTGCCTTAGGGACATGTGTTCTGCTTTGGGATCATGTATCCTGCTTTGTGGACTTGTATTCCCAGAATACATGTCCCCAAAGCTGAATACTATTCTGTCTTAGGGACATGTATCCTGCTTTGGGGACATGTATTCTGAGAATACATGTCCCCAAAGCAGAATACTATTGTGCCTTAGGGACATGTGTTTTGCTGTGGGGACATGTGTTTTGCTGTGTGGACATGTATTCGGCTGTGGGGACATGTATTCAGTTCTGGTGACATCCGTATTTAGCCCTGGTGAGAAACTGCCCTAAAATCATCAGTTTGTGTTGCTTTAGAAAAAAATATCACCTGTCCCTTTAAGAAAACGTATCGGTAATTGGTATCAGTAAGTACATGAGGGACAGTACTTGTACTTAGTCTTAAAAAAAATGGTATCAGGACGTCCCTAATGGGTATAATATAATGTAAAACATAACTCTCTATTATTGTTCTGTTTATGTAAATGCGACACAATACGTTCTCTAGGTCGGGTGTGATTCTCATTATATGTTCCTGCTATGAGTTTATGCAGAGTATCTCTTAGTCATAATGCTGGGTGTAAAGCTGCCCATACATGTCTAGATTTCTTTTGTTCAGTCTGCAGGCTCAATTATCTTTCCACATGGTCAGCTTTCCACCCAGTGTGCTGAACAAGAGAAGAAATCAAACATATTCTTCCATCCAACTGTGCAGATGGGGGTAATCTTTCCTGAAAGGCTACCGTATTCTGACGGCCGCCACCCGGCACTGTTAGAATTCCCTAAGGCTCCATTTCCACCAGGGCATTTTGTCACTCAAAGCTAAGAGCGTCAAGGTAAGGAATCCCATTTATTTCTATGGCCCCTGTTCACACCTGAGCAATTTGTCTCAAGCAGAAAAAAGAAAAGTACATGAGCTACTTTTTGACTAGACTTCAATGGGAAACTTTGTGCGACTGAATGCTCAGGTGTGAACAGGGGGCCATAGAAATGAATGGAATTCCTTGTCTTGAGTGTTTTGTTGCGCTTACCTTCGAGCCACCAATTATCCACGCGAATTCTATGACAACAGTCAATTGAAAAATCGACTTATGTCAAGCCATTTGCTGCCAGCAGGACCAACTGCAGCTTGAATTTCTACCAATTCAGCAGCAGTCACCCACAATTTAGGTATTGCATTGCCAGTTTAATTATGAGCACCCATGCTTATTTGTATATCGCACAGTACCACTTTTCTTGTTTTCTATGCCGGCCATAATTCTCTCTATCTGTTCTTATGTGTTTTTGTATCCGCGTTGTACATTAGCACTTTTCTTGTTCCATATGCTGTGTGTAATGCTCAGTAACTGTTCTTATTCTGATTACAGCCGTGGACAAATTTGTTGGTACCTTTCCACACAAAAAAAGACACCACAATTTTCTTTGAAAAAATTTGGAACTGACTTAAAAAAATGGCACCCACCATTGTTAATTCCATATTTATTCAAATGCTTTTGAATCTTGATTTAACAAAATATGTTAAAAAAAATAAAACAAATAAAAATGGCATGGACAAAAATGATGGGACCCTTAATCTAATATGTCTCAACCTTTTGGAGGCAGACTGTGGTGTAAATACAATAGCATAAGTAGAAAGTATTTACACAAATTACTGGAACACGGCTTTTCAGAAAAATGTGAGCTCATTCTGCAGTTTCAGGAGGGCAGGGATAGCCTCCTTTATTAATATTTATTATTGAAGGATCCCCCATAGACCACATTTGATCATACAGGCATGGTATACATTTTCTTTGGGGGCTGTTCACACATATAATGGTGACCTGGGTTTTACCGCATCGGAACAATGCAGGTAAAAACTAGGACCACATTGTTTTCTATGTGCGCTGTTCACACCACAATGCACTGTGCACTTTGATAAAATGCAGAAGGTCACCGCATGGCAACGCACCATGCTGCGGTGTCGGATCCTAAATGGATTGTAAACAATATCCACTCCACATAATATTTAAAAATACACTGCAAACCCATCACTAAAGATACATCGCTCACTGCTGAAGCTGCCACAACGCACTACCCCGCTTGCTAAAACGCAGTGTTTTAGTGGATGGACTTATGTGAACAAGTCCTTAAAGTCCACTATTTTTGATAATGTTGACATCATTTAATTTATCCAATCATCGGAATTATTTTCACCAGCTTTCTGCATCTTCTCTTCACTATAGATCTGCACTGCCACAGATGCACAAATCACCCTACAAGTGTTGTGTAATAAGGCATGAAATCACATCTATAATGTTAGTAAAATGACTTTTCCCTTAAATTAGCACTAAATAGCAATAGATAAAAATATACTAAAAACATTATTAAAAAGTCAATTAAGCTAAAATACAAGTGTTACCTGCCTTAACAATCATTATTTACAGCCAGTAATATTGACTGTAAATAATGATCGTAATGGCAAATAACAATTTTCTTAAGGCAGCCTGTATTGGGTTGACTCCTTAGATCCCTCCCTCAGCTCTGCTCTCTGTGGATGTTTATCCTTTGTGATTATTGAGGAATATTTAAAAATTAGAATTTGTGTGTCCAGAGTTCAACTTTAAACTTTGCATGCACCAGACTGGACATTAACAGTGGCTTCATATGTCACATTTGCTGAGCTAAAGGTGGAGACAGCCATTATTATCTATGGCCATGTCCAGGGCAAGCTGGGATATCAAAGCCTGCTGGGATCTTTAAAGCAGAAAAACACCATTCAGGGCAGTGTAAGTGTAATTTTCTGTGTATATAAGGTATGTGATTGTACTTACATTTTGTGGAGGAGGGGGGTTGTCTCAGATGGTTAGGTAAAATGCTTTGAATCGCACTGCATGGTATTGCGGTATTTCGCAGTGCGGCGTGGTCAAGCGCATTGCGGGCAGGAGGTGTGTTTGGGGTGCCATTCATATGAATAGCAACACAACCCAGCTCCCGCACTGTTAATGCAACATATAGGTCCTCCCCTCCCTTTAGACCAATTATATACATGCATTTATTTATTATAGTGATACAATGCATACACAGCAATATGGCATCAACACTTCATTTTCCTGCTTGCTCGAAATGAAGTAAATCCTTTTTCTGTGTCTTTCATTAATCATGTCTCCATCTTTTTTTTTTTTTAGACTCCATAGATAAGGAAGCACCAGGGAAAAAGCCATGGAGTTCTTCATGACTGATACAAATCACACTGATCACAGTAACAGTTCCAATTTGGTGATTGGCTTCACATCTTCTGTCATATCAGTTTTTTTGTTTGGATCCAATTTTGTGCCAGTGAAGAAGTTTGACACTGGAGATGGTATGTGAAGTTATTTATGTAAACATATATTGTGCAGCTCGCATTCACAAGACTGGATCTCTCATATGGTATACACAATGTATTTAACCCCTTCATGACTGAGGCCTTTTTTTCATTTTTTGCACCCATGTTATATTCCACATTTTAGGCCTGAAAATTACTTAAAACCCCCCAACATTATATATTTTCTGAATGCCAAGACCCTATAGAATAAAATGGTGGTAGTTGCAAATTTTTATGTTGCGCAATATTAGCGCAACTCCTTATTAAACCGCAAAATTTAGTGACAAATTAAATTAAATGCCCCAAAACTCAACAAAATACCCATTTGTTTAATGAAGTATAAAAGATGAGTTTACAACGAGTAAAAAGATACCCAACATGCCCAGTTTACAAATTACATGCGTCCGTGAAATGGCAAAAAACTGCAGTACCCCAAAAAGTCTGTAGAAGACGCTTTAAAAGCCCCCACAGGTCATCAATTTAGAGATGCCCTAGAATTATTGCTCTCACTCCGGCGTGCGCGGCGATACCCAACATGTGTAGCGCGTTCGTCGTTTTCATACGTAGGCGCACCCGACGCATGTTTACGTGGCGACGTGCGTGCTCACGGGGGACTTGACATTTTTTAAAAATTATTATTATATTTTATTTCAATTTTAAAAACTTTTTTTTTTTTCTTTACTTTGACTGCTATCACATAGGGGTGCTTCAAGCCCACCCCCATGTAATAGCAGATGGTGGTGACAGGTACTCTTTAAGGTAATGCGGGGGGTCCAAAAGACCCCCAGTGTCACCTTTACACTAGACATAAGCTATTGAAGTGCAGATCGCACTTCAATAGCTTATAGCTGGGCTGCAGGAGCCCAGAACTGACAGCTCAGGGACCGGAAGTGATGCAATCTGCATCGCTCCCGGTCCCATAGAACGATGAACGGAAGTTCATCGATCTCCTCCCCAGCTCCCCGCGGACACCAAGGAAGCCGGTCCCGGGCCTGTAGGAGGGGCAACGGAGCCTGGGAAGCATGTGGGGGGGGAGCGGGCGGCCCCTTCTTCGGGACACAGAAGCGATCTGGAGACAGGTAAGTCGCCAGAATCGCTTCTGTTGTAAAGCCGACAGTCGGCTTTACAAGTTTAAACAGAGTCTGTTTAAACAGCCCCGATGCTGGCGACGTACGTCGTCACTCACGAAGGGGTTAATATAATTATCTTTTATGTCTCTTTATAACGCTGTTTAGTCCAATGGATAGATAAATGTTTAGTCAGATGGTCACTGGGAACGTGTTTGCAGCAAACATTTTTTTAGTCGAAAAAAACAAAATGTCATGCTAACTAACCACAAAGTTTTATCTCTATTATGCATCTTTGATTTAAGTGTTCTAGCGACATATTAATGTTTTTGAATTGTGGGAAAACGATTGCACCGCACATGTATCGCTATGCACGCTGAAATATTAGACCATAATTCTAGGGCCATTATTCATGGTTAACTCTAAACTGTTAAAGAGTTTAAGCATTCCCTGTGGCCATTTTTGGGTACTAAAGTTTGTCACCATTTCACAGGTTCACACAGTTTTAAGGCTAGACATGTTTAGTATCTATTTAATCAACTCAACCTCATCTTTTATTTTTAACATAAAAACTGGGTATTGTGTTTGTATGCACTCAAATTCATTTGAATTTGATAAACAGTGGCGCAAATATCACGTGGCATTAAAAAATTGCTGCTGCCACAATATTATTCTCCATGGTCTCCGTTTTTAGAACATATATATAATTCTGGGTGCTTTTAACTAACTAAGTTAGTTAGACCTAAAACTTGTGTTGTAACGTGTGCAAAAAAAAAAAAAAAAGAGCAACTGGCTGTGGCAGCGAAAGGGTTAAATCCATTAAACTGGCACTTGCCAGGCATGAATGACCAGGACAGTAGCAGATGTAGCCATATGATAATTATGGGTGTATGTTGTTCTGGAAACCTTGACCACGCAATAATAATAATTACTGTATAAGTGTACGAGGACCTTTAAAAAGAGCAATGGTGACATGAAGTGAAGGTCCTCTGTAAAACATAGCCTGAAGGAAGAAATAACTTTATAAAGTCTAGTAAGCTTTTGGATTTATTTTGGTATAAATGTTATCTGCTAAGCAATATTTGGGTGAACATGTTCCAGCTAGACTAATTATCATAACTCTTTTATTCTCGGCTGTGGCGTGCAGCAGATTCTGAAGCCATTGCTTTTTAGAGAAGGTCCCATTAGTTTAAGTCTTTAGTTTCCAGATCACTGCACTGAGAAAGAACATTGCCTGCAACCAAGTTAGATAAAATGAGGTTTGGAAGCTCAGAGGCACGAAATCTGCTGACTTCTTAATATTTTAGTATTGCTATATGTCCCTACATATATTTTATTCGACTTGGAAATAACTGCAATATAAAGTAGAATTGCTGGTCTAGTTTAGAAATAAATGTATCTTTTATCTGTGACATTTCTATCTTTCAGGAATGTTCTTTCAGTGGATTCTCTGTGCGTCTATATGGATAGTCGCTTTGGTGGTGAACCTGATCTTGCGCTGTCCAAAATTCTGGCCTCTTGCTATGGTTGGAGGCTGTGTATGGGCCACAGGTAAAGCAAAAAGACTAGTTCACACCAGTACAGTGTAACTTTAGCTCTGTTTTGAGACAGGATGAATCCTCCAAAAAGGATAGAAGGGATTGTAATGAATCGGTAAACCTAGCAAACAAGATGTTGAAGGTTTCCTTTGTAGGGCAAAGTTAGGTCATATTGCCTCATTATGTCTACTATGTCTTACTGAGCCAAAGCTTTTCTATAGTACAGTACTATCTTAATTTTGTTGTGACACTAATCATTTATTGAACAAAGAAAACTGTACATCTGTTTATTTTAAAATGATAAGACCAAGGTGTTAATGGGGCAACAAAAGCAATGCATGGGGATGGGGTTGTAGGCTTTAGCAAACAGACTGTGCTGTCACAACACCCAAACCTATTTTGGTCAATTAGTTTGGTGTGTTCCACTGTACACCCTTGTATGATACTGTAATATTAGTTGAGTCCAGCATATGCCACTCCCTAGCTAACAGCTACCTGGTGTTAGTGTAGACTAGTTCCATCAAGGGACCATACAAGGTAGAATGCAAACCAATTTTTACCTTAAAAGTATTACAAAAAACATGCTTTACATGCTTAAAACACACAAATGTGTCTCAGCCTACTGGCTAATTTTTATATGGCTCTGTCCATTTCATTCTAAATACACATCTGCCTCAGGGCTTGTTTACACCAATTCCAGTGCTTTCCAGCATGTTTAGCAAGCCTCTCTGGGGCAGGGGCGTGGTAGTGCCATTCAAGTCAATGACACCACAGTCATTCCTCCCTCACCAGAACAAGTGGCACAGCAATGCCCGCGGTCATTGCATATAGAGCATATAGAGCATATATTCCTCAGAACTAATTTAGTCTGATCCCGCACATTTGGTCACACAGATCCCGCAGATACCTCTTGATCACACTGTTTAACCCCTTACCGACCAATGACAGGATTATACCGTCACAATCGTTCAGTTAATTAACGACCAGTAATGAGATAATCCTATCATGTGGTACAATGAGCGCTGGTCCGTAGAGGGACCAGCACTCATTGAGTTACTGCTGTTGCTGGGTCCCTCTGGGTCTGAGGAAGAGCCTTAACAGCAGATTAGGTGGTCACAGCACTATGATCACAGTGATCGCTGATCGCTGTGATCAGAGAGCTGTGACAACCACGGAGCCCGGCAGCAGCTCACTGTGTTTGCAGCTGCGAGCCGACTGTGTGTTACAAACTGATACAAAGTATCTCTGAGGAGAATAATGTATTCTTGTCAGAGATATGAATTATCAAAGCCCCTGTAAAAACATTTTAAAAAATAACCCCTTATTGCCCCCTAGTTTAAAAAAATAAAGTTTAAAAAAAAAATAATAATTTGAGAAAAGGTTAAAAAAAGTTTTAAAAATACATTTAATTAAAAGATTATAAGAAACCAAGTAGGCTATTGAAGATAGGAGACAAACATTACACATTCTAAAATTGTTCCAATATAAAACTGTATTTCACTCCTTGTATTTTGTGACCTATAACGGCCAAAATAAACTGAAATCCCAGACATATGATATACCCTATAAATCAGGACAACTAAAATGTATTATTAATTACTTTCTGTTAGCCACATTAATTATGTGCACATTATTTTTGCCAAAAATGTGAGTTTTTTTTTTCCTATTTAACCACCTTCCGTCCATGGCCGTTTGTGAACGGCCGGACGGACGTCTGCTAGGAGCGGGAGGAAAGAATTTATGTATGCATATGTGACATTAAATTAAAGTCCATTTTGTACTTTAAAAAATGGTATGCAATATGTGTAGGTGCTATGAATGAGGGAGGTGGAAATTATGGTTAAATAAACACATGGCAAAATTGCTCATGTCCCCAGGAACGAAAACATTTTTCTGAAGCTGTGTCACTAAGTGGTTAAAGAAATTCCAGACAGCCTAATATCATCAAAAAGGACTTGACAGCACTCTGGAACTTATCACTGTGTCTTCCAGCTTTACTACCATTTGAAAATTCCCAGCATATAAAACAGAGAGGGATGCTCAACTGGTAAACATGTTTATTGAAATTAATATATAAAATTGCACTTACATCTAACTATATACATACAAGCATAGCAGAAAGCAATCCACATCGAAAACCGGTCAGCAGACTACACTCAATGCGTTTCATCCGTATTGATTTTATCAAGAATTGTGAATTTTAGGTACACCTCTAGATTTGGATGAATGTAGGAGTATCTTTCACATTTTTAGTAACAATTAAATATCACTCAAAAATCCTACAAAATAACGGAGTTTCATAACTATAATTTAGTCCCATCAGGTGCATACATGCAAAATTGCATTGACTTTTTTTCTGAAAATTAGCAGTATCCACACAGTGTTACCTATCACTGTTTATCTTATTTTTATTTGAATAGTCTGCTAATATACCTGTTTTGTTACTATATAACTAGTTTTCGTTCTTAATAAATCCTTCCAATTTTTCTGTCTTTTATTTTACAATTTCCTGGCAGGGATTTAAACCATGAATACTACTAGAAAAGTATATTTATGAAATTCAGTAATCCCAAATCCTCCATAGTGTAAAGATAAGGGGATTAGACTGGTAACCCTGATACACTTTTATTTTAAATGCTGTAAATGTTTTAGTATTTTGGTATAAAAATACATGCTCTGAAAGCAAATGATTGGCTTTACTTTGCTACAGGAGTGTTTATTACCATGAAGCTGTAAATGCAATATCTGAAACACAAAGGCCTGTCAGCACATTCATTATCCTTCTTTAAAATGACTTATCTAGGAGGTAAGCTCCAGTGACCAAGTGATGAAGGCTTACTATAATAAAATCCAAATTACATATTTTATTTTTTTGTCTGTACTGGAAGGAAATGTAGACTGTCATTACTGACCTCTCCTTCTGAATTTCAATTCCCTGACTGTTTTCCTGGTGACGTTTCTTAAGTACTTTTTCAATCAGTGACCTAGAACAGTTACTTATCTTAGGTATATTACTTCATTGGCTACCAACCTACCCCAGTGCAGAGACAGCCAAGCAACTGGCATTCAGAAAGTGGTTAGCAGTGGCAGCTTACATACTTCTATTAGTATAGGTTTCCTTTAAAACCACTACAAGTAAAGTAATAATCCAGTCGCTTTACATAAAAAAAGCTGTTAAGAGTAGATACGAACCAAAGCTCTAAGATGTGTACCCACAGAGAATTAAGTGCACTTTATGGCTCCTCATTTCCTGTGTCTAAAATCCACATCCTCCCCAACCTACTGGATTTTAAATCTGGGTACCATAGCTTTATTTGCACATTTCAAAACATATTTTGTCTTTATTATTTTTTATAGCATGATGTATGTAATACAACACGTTTGTATAACATGTTTGGTGAGTGATTAGAACATGTCAGGTTTTTATTGCTCAAGCAAAACAAATGGCAAACGCACTCATCAACTCATAACCAGCTTTAAAACAAGGTGCACATGGAAGGGCTTTATATAGTACAACAGCAAAAAGTTTCCAGCACACTCACCAGCCAGCCTGCAAAAAAACCTGTCTAACCGCTAAGGTTAAATTGGTGGCCCCCACACTCGCAGAATGGGCAGTGGAGATGGATGGTATAGCAGACATGGAAGGCCTCTTGGCTGAGGAGCGTGACACTGGTGATAAGTATGTGCTCACCATGTCCATTTGGACCGTCTTTCGAGCCTCAGCAGGCTTCGTGGAAGCCCTTGCTCCTTAACCTGTTTGCAGACCAGGTGAACTCGATTACATGACAGGGAGTGGGCAACTGTCAACGTCTTGATCTGCCTCCCCTCTACTCTTTCTGGCCCTTTTTTTTTACTTTACTTCTCTCCCTCCCAAGAGTTTAACGTGGATGTCTTGTCCTTAATACTGCCTAAACTCTACCGGTGACGTAGCGCCCACTCTCTACTGTATATGACTTATAGAATGTGGTGACTCCATTATCTGTGTTCCTCTATGCCATGGGGACTCTCGGGCTGTACGGCAAGAGAGTTCCGACGCGCTTGTTGCCCTGGTTTTTAATGGAACACCGGGTCTACGCTACCTGGCGGGATATATGTAAACCTTTTATGCTGGTGTTTCCCTGAATTCAGCACTAGGCCACCAGTTTTGAAGATGGTGTACATGGATTCACATGTGAACTTCTTCTTGTTTTATTATTTTTGTCCAACTGTTATCTTTGGTAACATTGTCTATTTGTTTTCTTTTTTCTGTACTTTACTGTGCACTTTAAAAATGTTCTAATAAACTCAGATTGGATTAAAGACAGAGGGTTTAGATGCACGTCTTCTGCAGAATATGTGAAAGCCACACTGCCTCGTCAAGGCCCCTCTGTGTAGTGCAGTCTTAACACTAACCTATGAGAGTCTACGGGGGTGATTTACTAACCTAAACACACGCACGCACCAGGTGTGTGTGATTTTCACACAGCAAAACGTATTTATCAACCAAAAAGTATCTAAAAGCATATTTCCACTAATGCCATATATGGAAAAATCATGTACATGATGCATATATAATGCTGCTTCACAGTTTAGACAAAAATGGTTAGCTAATGCATTTACATTCCTGCATTCATCAACACAAGCAACATAACATAGAGCTAATTTACACCACATTACCTTGCAATTCATTGCAGGGCTTTGCACAACACACCTGCTGGGTGTGTACACACTACAAAGGTGTTTCGATTCCTCCCATAGATCATGCTGGGAGGGAACACACTACAGAGGTGTATACACGTTCATGGTGTGTTTATAAGGTTAGTAAATCAACCCCTACATCTTGGTGCAAATGTGGCAAAAGACAAATTGGGTGCAGGTTCACCAGGAGGCAGCCCAACCCCCTTAAAGGTTTTTATTGCTGTCACCCTATTTATCCTGTTGACCATCATTACTGACAGTGAAAGAAAATCCCAATGGGGACACTAGTCCTGGTTACCACCAGGGATTTATTTGGAGGAATTTCCTCTCACTGCCTGTTGTGGATATTGGACAGGAAATTAAGGTAAATCTGCCCAATTAGACCCGAATGGCAAAGAAAAAGCTGACAAGTGTTTTACCATATCCTACTCTATCCAAAACTAAAGTACAACTTCACCTCTACTTTAATCCTGTGCTGAAGGCATGCTTATCACTGCAATGTATAGTGCTTATTGCCGACAGGCTGAATGTAAACATGAAAAGTGTTCTTGAGTGTATTAAAAGAGCTAATGTGATAAGATGGTACCAGCTTGATTATTCATAAAGGTCAAATAGAAGGCATGCAAAGGAATAGTAGAAACAAATTGAAAAACTGATATATTTCACACAATATGCATCTTTGACAAGTGTGAACACATAATCACAAGGACCCCTGCTCTGTTCCATTAAGGGCAACATGATTTGTGCATTTATAGCTAAATCTCTGCGATAAGACAAGGCAGAAAGGGGTTATAATTATATGGAAATTTGCCGTATATATCATTCACCTTTGACCTAGCAAACATAATTTTTTTGTAATAGTAAATTTCCCCACCGTCGGGCACCTGCTAAATATAATTGGATTTGAGTGTATGGCATCTTCCGGTTGGTTATGCACTGTAATGAGATTCTGGTTATTCAACTCAGATTGAATAAATGCATAATTGAGTAATAGATGGTACCATATAACTGCATGATCTTAATCAGCATCAGTAAATGATACCTTACATACCAGTAATTGTATAGCTGTGAAAGTAGTGCACTACTCTGCGCTAACAGCAGTGCATGCTTCCCCTTAGGCATATATGTATCAGCGCACAAAACCCGTTGAGACTCCCATGAATCTTCAGCACCATAGTTACTGTTGGTTTGCAATTGGATCATGTTAGCACAACCAACCACCCTTTAGGGACGATTGCTTACATTTTTATTAGTCCTTTAACAACTGCACAAGACATTTCTATAAAAGGCCCTTATCATTCTGTATAGCCAAGTTCCCCACAATAAAAATCAATGCTTGTGCACCCAGCTGGATGTCATGTTCCTAATAAACATTTGGTACATTGCTCTGGCAAGCTAATTTAGTAATTTGTATTGTTTTTATATATGCAGGTAATATTACAGTTGTTCCAATAGTGAAAACAGTAGGACTTGGGTTAGGCCTCCTCCTATGGGCTTCTACCAACCTTCTCACTGGCTGGGCAAGTTCAAGGTATATATATTATATCAATAGATGTATAAAATGTATTTTGAATGCAAACTAATTTAAATTGTACTTTGTAACATGAAAAATCACTGCTCCCATCCTCACACACACACCTCCAGAGTATCCCAGATGCAGGTACTGAGCAGAACTTCAATACCAATACAATAACCGCACTCCACAGGTGTTCACCAAATATAAAAGCCTTTATTCCAAGGTGATAGACACGTTGTCTATCCGCCAGCATAAACCACCTGCTCTAACGCATTTCACCATCGGGCTGAATCGTAGCTGTAGCCAGCCAGTGACACTACAAGTGGATGGGGCCTGATGGGCATACCGAGGTACTAGTTCGCCATGAGGTCCACTCTGCTACTGATTGACAGCAGGCATTGGGCGCATTCTATACCCAATAGCCAGCCTGCACCTCAGCATCCCCATGAGGCTCTGCCCACCCACCTCATAAGACTCGGCATTACTGAGCTGCACTGAAGGCAGAGTGTCCAGGTACCTGAATCTGGGGTAAGCACTGGCTTTTGTCATACAAATTCACAACATGCTTCTAAAGAGTGTCGAAGACACTTTATGTATTCCGCCCAGTCATTTTTATCTGGCCTCAGTAACAAAGTAAAACCGAGGGGCACCAGATAAGCTTTTCTGGCCATGAAAGGTAATCTTGTGATCTCTGCTGTAACTGTACTACAGTTAGAATCTCTCTCAGGCTTTTATTGCAGTGTCTATGCCCACTGGGAAGATTCACCCTCTCCATTTGTCCTGGTGGCCTTCTTCCCTGGGCCTGAAAAATACACAGCACTCCCAGGCTGAGAGGCGCTAATGTCATTACCCAAAGGCCACTGTCTAAAGCAAAAAAAATCCAAGGGGGGCTTTGGTGGTGATGTTGAGGGAGGGGAAGACCTCAAGCTGATGGTCCAGCTTAAACATGCAGGACCTGGTGTATCAACATGTGCTTACTAAGCACTAAAGTTATCAGTCACTAAATCAGAATTCGATTTCAGGAAAGTTTTATCTGAATTGATGGCATCAGCTCTGCTGTGCACTGGAATTTCAGGTAGCCGATTATCAGTCAGCATCCAATATAATTGTAGAGTGACTGAACGTGTTATTTTACCTACTGATGTTACAAGCCACCGGTATCTTTGTTTTCCAGATTTGGCATGTTTGGAATAGATCCAGAAGTAGTTCAGAGGCCGTATTTAAACTATGCAGGCGCTTCTCTTTCTGCACTAAGGTAATGCTTCTCATTTTTCATGATCATTTTTATGTGTTGTTTATAATACAAAACCTAAATTATTGTAAGTATCCCAAGGCCTCCTGGCATGTGTGACATGTGTATCTCAGGAGGCTGTGGCCAAGGAATATGTCATTCTCGCCTAGACGAGCATCCAGGTAATAAAAGTAATCCAATTGTTAGAAAGAAGGGGGGGTGTGGTAGGAGTGGAATGAGTTAAAGTTGGTGGTGGGGGTAAAGTTCACTTTAAGTGTTGTGGCTTCCACAGAATTTGTAGTGTGATTTTTTTGATGCTTGTGTTTGTTTAAAAAGATAAGATTATTGTATGCAGAAAATTTGTTTGTTTTTCAGTGCAGTTATATTTCTGTTTGTGAAAACGGACATCAAATCTGTTACATCTGAACCAGAAACGACTCCACTTCTGAGGAATAGTGTATGTATTACAAAGTCAAAACAGTGTTTATTGCTTACTTTTATGTGGCGAAAAGGGCCTTATGTATTCCACATGAAGAGCTTCCATCTGCTTATTGTCAGTCAGATGCAGTAAAAGGGGAATGACATTAACTAGAACATTATTTTATGGTTTACTTATATGTAGTACTGTAAGAAGATGCAGTATATTCAGCATTTAATATTAGGAACCAGTCAAGGATCACCATATGGCTACATTTAGGTTTTTCACTTGCATTAATAGACTTGCTTCTCTTAATGCATTTTCGTATGCCTGAATAGACACTATTATTGATGTACGTTTTAGCATGCTAATTGGCATTTTTTTGGTTAATTCTTTATGCAAAGTAGGGGAAAGAACATTTAAGATGCAGAGCAAATATGTTATATAGGCATAAAACACGTGACAAATGCATTTTTCTGCATTTTTAGAACTCTATTGAATAAGCCTGCTTATTTATGATAACACTTCACTACAGCACAATGATGTAGACATACTGCACTGAAATGGATGTCTTTTACACACAAACTGTATACCTGCAACAAAAAAACAATTTTTTTTAAAAAAAAATTTTTAAAGTGACCCTTGAAATGTTTTCTTATTAATGGTCATCAGGTAAGTTATGATTAACTGTATCTCTGCTGTTCAGCTTGGTATACAGAACTGCCTTTATTTTACATACCATGGTTAGTCCAGGATGCCATTGGCCATTAAGGTTGTCATATATGCCTTTCACAAAGTTAAAGTGTATGTAAACCCTGATGATGAATTGCTCTTATTTGCTTCTGTTAAATATATAATTGAAAGCTTTTTGCTATATCTGTTAAGTCCAATGCTGTGCCCTGCTGCAATCTACAGTGTCACATAGTTTCATAGTATTTGAGGTTGAAAAAAGACACAGGTCCATCAAGTTCAACCTTTGTGTGTCTGTGTGTGTGCTTGCATGTGTGTATATGAGTCCCTGTGTGGTCTTGGGTTTTTAAGAGTACCTGTACCCCTGTATGTTACAGTCCCTTAGGACGGTATCTAATTGATTTTTGAATGATTCAATACTCTCTGCTGATACCACTGCTTGTGGCAGAGAGTTCCAAAATGTAACCACTCTAACTGAAAGAAGCTCCTACGCCCTTTGTGGATAAATCTTTTCTCCACCAGTTTTAGGTGGTGGCTTCTAGTCTTAGTTATGGAGTTTACAGTAAAAAGTTTATTGCTGATGTTGTCATCACCATTAAACATTTTGTACATCAAAATCATGTCCCCTCTTAATCTTCTCACTTCCAGCGTGAACAAATTTTAATTTAGCAACCTTGTCTTTGGTCCTCCAGCCCCTTAATTGGTTTTGTTGCCCTTCTCTGGACTCTCTCTAGCTCACGGACATCCTTTCTGTGGATTGGTGACCAATGTTGAACTGCATACTCCAGATGAGGCTGATCAATGATCTATAAAGTGGCAAAATTATCGCTTTGTCTCTACAGTACATTCCCTTTTTAATTAATGACAGTACTTTGCTAGCTTTGTCTGCTGCAGCCTGGCATTGCAAGCTATTATTCAATTGGTGGTCTATAATGACCCCCAAATCTTTTTCTTACATCCCTAGTGGAGTTCCCATTAATGTGTATTCCGCTTGCCTGTTTTTAACCCCAAAATGCATTACTTTACATTTTTCAAAATTAAACTTTATATGCCATATAGTTGCCCACTCCCCTATTTTATCCAGGTCCTCCTATAATGTAATAATGTTTGATCCCATGTCTATTACTCTCGCATTTTTAGTATCATCTGCAAACATAGAAACATAGCTATTTACACCTTTCCCAATATCATTAATAAACAGGTTAAACAGTATTGGGCCTAGGACAGAACCCTCGGGTTATCTCAAGTTTTATGATCCTTGCCAAGGTCACCTCTGTGGACTACAGAACCCTCCCCTCATGTTATGGAGATGAGGAGAGGAGTGGTGGTCTTTAGTCCCCCCAAAAAAACACCTAGACTGAATGACATTCCTTTATTATTCATGGAGTGCTAGTAATCAGAAAAGCCTCCCATTTGGAAAATTTCCACACAATCTTCTGGTTGTTCTTCTTGGATAAGTTGGTGCAGGTATTTCGCTGAGGGGAGTGGGGGACACCTATACTAAATATTGGGTATGTTATATCATGTTTAGTATGAGTGTCTGTGGACACTCATACTAAATAGTTGGGTATGTCTGTTGGATGGTAAAGGAACGTCTGAGCATTGAATGGGAGACCATTAGATTTGCTTTGGTCATCTTTGTATGCTTTCTAAACACTACAGAACTAGTTAAATGCTTAATACACCTAAAGCTACCTGTATGTATTTTTTAAACAGATTTACAAGCATCCCACTTGTTCCAAAACCATGCGTGACTCTAATATGCAAATTTTAAACCTACTCCTACTCCTCATCGCTTCATAATTATGCCTTATAATAAGGCACACTAATGGGTCGGTCAGTGATTTTGAAATGTTTGGAAAGAAGCTTTCAGGTCACTCTTGAAGGTACATGGAGGCATCACGAGCTGTCCCTATTTTATTCATGTTACCAAGTTTATAATTTTTAGAAAGTTACAGGTTTGCTTTTATGCTACATAAAAAGGCTTGCAATAACCATCAGATGATTGAAAGAATAAAGAAAGCTTGGGCTTGTTCTCACCAGAAGCATCTTACTAGATTTTCTTTAGCAGGCAATATTCATGGGCACGAGAAAGTTCATTGATGATAATAAACCCTTTCCTTGCAAACCATAAACCATTGTATTGCAGTGAAAGTCCCGCATGCCTGCATTTTTGGTGCCGTAACCTGCATTTTGGGGTGCTTTAAAATCATAAAGCACATGAACTAGTCTTATAAATGAAAACAGTTGATTTTGTTTGGATAAGTGGCAGCTAAAGAAAGTCTTTTTTAACTTGTTTGAATAGATTAATTCAAACGAGAACACGCTAACAGATGAATCATGGGTAGACAAATTATCATCTTTACAAAGGCGAATCATGTAAGTAAACAATCCTATCATTCTGATTACAATTGGAAACAAAATTGTTCAGTCAGTTAATATAAAAACATTTGAAATGATGATTAGCACCCTGTGCAGAAATCCAGAATGTCACACCCACAAAATAAATATGTTATACTTATTATGTTAAATCATTTTGATTGCTTCTAAACTTTTAATTCTATAAACAAATATTTAATGCCGGGTGCAAACAGGACATGTTGCAGGTCATTATGGATTTTTTAAACAGACACAGCAGTAGTAGCTTTTCCATTCAGATGGTCTTCAAAATGCACAGAGGCATATTTGAGGAGGGTTACTCTATTACCTCATTCAGCTTATTTAGGCTGTTCTTGGAGCCTTCCTTATTGTTCACAGGCCATGTGGAAAATACAATCCCTGCAGTGTATTCTGGGTCTATCTGGGGCATTCCACAGTTCCATATAAAAGGCCTCACCATCTCAGATGCCACCTCACAAGGTTGGGCTTAGCATAATGTATGTAAAACAGGGATGTCCAAACTTCGGCCCTCCAGCATCTCTCTCCGGGAGTCATGTTTGTGGCTATGAGAATCTTGCAAAGCCTCATGGGATTCGTAGTTCCACCACAGCTGGAGGGCCGCAGTTTGGACATTCCTGATGTAAAATAAAGTATGAGCATCTTTATATGTAGAAAGGTGCACTTCTGCCAACTAATTTTTCCTAACATTTAGTCAAATTAGTCATAGAGGTCTTCTATGACTAAGACCCATCCTTGGTAAAGCATGTTATAGGAGGTCAAGCAGGGGTTGGTGGGAGGCGCTTGATGAATGTACATGCTCAGTACAGGATGGAATAAAGTTGATTGGATTTGAATAAAAAAAGATTTGACACAAGTGCAGCTTCTTACATTATTATGCTGTTCAGGAAGAGGATTGCCCTACAAGCTATAGTACCCCTGGCTGGTTATCGAAGCCACAACTCTGCCTTGACCTGTACTATTCACAGTTGCTTTAGAAGCATTTTCTAAATGATTGATTCTTGTAAGCTTATCGCAATTGTTATTCATTTATATTTTATCTGCTCCCATTTTTCTGACAGAGGCTCAGTGATGGCAATTGTTGCCGGGGTCCTTTATGGCTCCTGTTTTATTCCTGTCCTCTATATCAAAGATCACAGCAAGCACAATGATAGCGCATATGCTGGAGCAAGCCAATTTGGTAAGAGAAACTGGATCTCCTTTTTTCTTAGTTCTGCAATTATTGATGGTTTAAGACATTTTGTAACTAGGTCCAGAAATGTGTGATTTACATTGGTAAGGAGAGAAATTATATGCATATTGATGAGTATTTCTATTGCTTTTTAAGTGGTGGCATCACATTTTTATATTTTAAAGAAAATGATGGAGCTTTTATAGGCATGATTAATCATCAAGATTTATTGTTGCCTGCTGACTTATCTTAACAAAGAGACACAATTATATACTACTTTGTGTCCCATGGTAAATATCACTTTGCTCTGATTGATCGATAAATCCCTATATGCTTTGTGACCTTTTCTCTGTAGTTGGCGTTCTGGGACAACACATACAATTTATGTAGCTTGAGAGAATCTTGAATGCCACAACTGATAGGGTGCAATTATTTTCTCAGTGGGATCTGGCTAATTCCTATGTTACAATCTATTGAAAAATAATTCTCTTTCAGATCTAGATTATGTGTTTGCACACTACAGTGGAATTTTTCTCACAAGCACTGTTTATTTTCTCATCTACTGCGCGGTTATGAAAAACCGTCCTAAAGTTTATCCGGAAGTAATATTACCTGGTAAGTGTCCATATCTATTTAAGCCAAATAAAGGTATCAACCTAGGTATCTTGGCCATTTTATAGAGGCTTATGATATTCGGAAACATTTAATTTTTCCATATTCATATACAACCTAATTTACTAATGTCTTAAAAGTGACACTAAACTCAGGAATGAAATCTTAAAAATGTATTTAAGTACTTTAACTATTAACAAAAATGTATTATATTTGTGTATCACTTGGCTGTAGATCCTCAAATCATCTCTGAACTGGTGCTGACACTGTCCTTCCTTCTGGAGGGTGGCTACTTTTGTTCCCCCATGGTTCCTGTCTGTGTTGTAAAGTAGCCACCACTCCAAGCTCACTCCTGTGATGGACTACAATCTCAACACAAATTGGTGAACTAAATGTGAGATTGTAGTCCATCGTGGGAGTGTCATTCATCGCTTTATAATTATTCCCCCAAGAATCTTTCATGTCCATAGGGATACATATATACTGTGGATTAAAGCTTTCTTGCCGAAACCCATTTTTTGTTCTGGCTTTCATATACTTTGTAATGATAATTTACCTGCTCTGCAACTTTTAAGGTTTTATCTCTGGCTTCCTCTGGGCAATTGCAAACTGCTGCTGGTTCCTGGCTAATAACTACCTCAGTGCTGTGGTCAGCTTCCCAATAATCACTGCGGTCAGTATTTATTTTGATCTTTAATGATATTAGATAGAGAAAAGTATATCTGCCAAATGTCAAACTGCACAAGTATACAACATGAGATGACCTTTACAGAATGTATAAGACTGACGGCCTCTGCGTATAAATGCGTCTTCTGGTAAAATAACACTACATTTTTCTCTGTAAATGAAAGAAAAGCATCCAAGTAAAATCTTATGTGTCTGGTATACATAATATTTTATCAGGCAAAATGGCAGTGACTTTTAATTATATGAGCTCTTTCAGCCTTCTCCTCTGCCAAAGCAAGCCAAGACCTCCAGAAACTAATACTAGGGACTCATCATTTCAAGGCATTGGACTGGGCTCAACTAAACATGACCTGTATACATTTTATACAGTACATAAGAAGATTGATAAATTAATTGGCTCATACATTGTCTCCTGTCTGCAAAAAGGAGTTGTTTAAAACCTTCACTGATGATAATCAGATGGAAGATGTGACTTAGGTCATATTGGTGTAAACTGTTGCACAACCACTTCTGTTTCCATTCACTCAACATTCAGTGCCCACACTGAACAAGTCTATCCGTTAGAAGGTATTGATGACTTATACATAGTGCCATTAATTGGAAAGACTAATGCTGCCCATACACTGTAATATTTTCTTTGTTCAGCCCGCGGGCTGAACAAAGAAAATATGATAGATTCCTCTATCAACACTTACGAGCATTGATCGAGGAATCTCCTGCTGTCTGCTTTGTACTTTGACGGCGGCTGCCAGCTGCTATACAAATTCCCGAACAGAGCCAGCAACTCATTAGCTGCCAGCTCTGTTCTTTCAAAGATTTTCCAACTGGCTCCTTTGATCAGCTGATCAAGGGATGCCAGGCGGAAGGTTGCCAATTGCAAATTTGGCTGGTTCATCAAAAACTGGCCAACATTTCCATAGTGTATAACCAGCTTAATACTGGCTAGTAATGGAAAGACTGATAATGTCACTGGCACACAAACATTAAACACAGCTCCTGCCAAAACTTTATTCGTTTTCGACAAAGTTGGTAAGGGTTAGAACCACACTTTCTGTGCTTTCACCAAAACAGGAAGTGAGCAAAAAAGCCAGCAATAATATATGGAAATATTTGGTAACTTTTTGTCTCAATTAGGGACATCTTGTCACCAGGTAAGGAAGTGAAGTAAATCTCCTCAATAATGACACATGGCTTAAAACCCAACAGAGGTTATAACCTAAGAGAGGTCTGTTACTAGCTGCTTCTTTACGAAGTGTGATAAGTAGTTTTAATTGCAGTAATGTGCTGGTTAAAGAGTAATGCAAATGCTATGTAATGCATTGTAATGAAACACTTGAATACATTTGTATCTTCACTTAATATTGTGTTAACAGGGTCCTGGACTGGTTGCTGCTCTGTGGGGGGTGCTTGTATTTAAAGAAATAAAGGTAAGTTTACCAGATAACTGTGTTTAAATGTGATAACATAAACTATAGCAGGACATCAGTGTTTGTTTTGCACTGTGCAGATTAGTCTTACAGAGGAACTCTTCTATAATAAAAACACCGAGATCGGGGTAGGGGAAGGTGTGCAAGGCAAGTGAAATGTGTAAATTACCTGCAACCCCATGATTTATTGAATTGTCATTTAAGTAATTTCTGGGATGAGCAACTGGTTTCAGTATCTGTTTTAGTGTTGCAGGTTTTACTATAAATTAGTAAATTGTTGACAGTATGGTGACCTGGCCGTAATTCTAGCCATCTGTGAGTCTAACAGGATTCCAAGCATAAGTGTGAGCATTCAGGAACATAAACCTGAGTGTGTTTTACACACTGCATTCACTTTCTTGTGTTTATTTTTAGTTTATTTTCGTTTAATAGCATTTGCACCATATATCTTTTTAATAAACACATTTTGTATCAGCTTTGTAGTATTATTTTTCTTCAAGTTCACTGTCTACATTATCAGTGTCCCCCCATTGCACTACTTCATTTGATATAATTGTATGCACAACAGGGGCACAGCAGGTTTCCTATCGCCCAACGCTCGGGACATGCAGTTCCGAGAGCGGGGCAGGTGGGGTTTTTTTTCCTACATTTTAGCCCTGCTGTGTGCAAGCAGGGCTAAATGTAGAGCGAGCCCATATCACTTGTAGCAGCCTACTGGTTCGTCACCCGCCCTCCACAGTCCTAGTTGGCCTCTGTGTGATAGCAATGAAGTCAAGTGAAGAAAAAAACATTTTCTTCACTTGAGGTGAATGGTCCTTCCCATCTGCTGGTACGGGTGTACTATCTGTACCCCATACTGCAATCTAGCACAGCTCTGCCCTATGGATTTTGAAATTTGCTTGCAAATTGGGAGCACTTGTTGTTTAACGCGGTCAGGTGGCCACACTGACCAATGAGCAGTGCTTGTCAGCACGGTGAAGTACAGTTTTGTTTTTAAAAAAATGTTGTATCGTGACAAGTAGATTGTCATGAGGGATAAGTAGATTGGGCCCCTGCTTTAGTCCTTGGACAAGTAGTTTTTTTTTTTAATTTCCACACCCCTGCACAAAGCAAGTTTGCATCTATTGTAACCATATTCATTGCCCCGACTGACCTAAATTGGCAAAAGCTAGAATAATTTGGTGTGAGTAACTACAACAATAGAAGGGGGTGTCAATCTAAAGCTTATATTAAAGTTATCAAATATAAGTGATGAGAAAAAACAGACAAGTGCTCGTATGTAAATCACCCCTAAAATGAAGAAAACATATTTTTTTTCAGCATTGCATAAATACAGAATTAATAAAAGTATAACAGAGGCTAAAATTAAGCTAAAGGAATGTTTGAAGTGTTGATCGAGTATAGTCAGGGATTTGATGTGATCATGGTACTTCTCTATAGCTCCAGATTTCCTTCCTCTGACTGTGGGCTAACCACGGTCAGATTATTGGCACTTTTACTACAGTGGATTTTAACTTTATATTATACTAATGCTGGTTTCATGCAATATTGGACAAATAACGTTTTCTATGTTTATGGCATGAATAACATTGAAACAACTGGCTATATTTCCTCTTTATTTATAGTTCATATTGACTTCTGTATTTAGCTTCCTGAAACATGATGAATAAAACATGAGAGAGTGAGATCCCTTGTAAAAGCTGTAGCAAGTTATAAAGTACAGGAAGTCCAGTGCCAGAGTTACTAAAAGATATAGGAAGATGGTGGGTGGTTCACCAGCAACTGTCCAATGTTGAAGTGTCTGTTTTAAGTGGCTAGTCCAAACATTTTAAGTTATATTTTGTTTGTTTTACGTTGCATAAAAAATGGGTAGCTGTGTGGTCACATGATACATGTTTTTAAGTTGTTTAATGCACCTAGTATAAATAACTGAATTTGACTTGATTTCCCTATACAGCAGCATTCAGACTGGGAGGGGCAGTACCAATCAGGTGTGCTGCATTCACTTGTGCAGACAGGGAATATACTAACAAGAGAGCTAAGAGAAAGAACACCATCAGTCCATTGATGCTTCTTTGCTGTCCTGTCACAGACTGGGGGTGAAGAGGTGACATAGCATTGTTGCTTAACTGCAGAAAATTCAGACTGGCTGTACCTCATGGTAGGTCTGTATTTATCCTAGGACTGGATGGACAGAAGTGCAAATTCTTTAGCAGGCAACAGCTCCCATATATATATATGTTTTAACTATATAGCTGTTTTCCTGGAGTTCAGGCAAATACACTAAATATGTACACACCCGTTAATGTAAGTCACCCACAACTAGATCCACATTGGCCAGAGATATAATTGTCAGATCTGAAATTTACTTTTCAAAAATGATTGTGAGTATCTCTGTATGTATTGTGAGCTTTAGACTGAAAAGTGATCATTTTATCTTTTTTTTGTTTTTCAGGGACGAAGAAATTACTTGCTGCTAGTGCTAGCATTCTGCATTGTGCTATCTGGTTCCCTCCTAACAGCGTTTTCTAAGACATGAATCACTTTCCTGACTAACCACCAGGTGGCACCGCTGATTTTTATTTGTACATAATCATTTTATTCTGATGAATGAGGCGATCAGGGACACAAAAAACATCCTACTTCTCTGATGACATTTATGCCACTTTATATTCATATTTTATGCTAAGCTCTGGAAGATTGAAGGCAATACAAGGGAACACTCTAGGAGTTTGACGTTTACATTTTTGATAATGACTATAAACTAAATTAAAAACACATACATAACATATTTGCCTACATGTGCTTTGTGTGATGTTTTAGTAAACCAATTGCATTTCCTTTTGCAACTCATGCTGATAATTTTCTGTTATATTTTGAAAGTTAAATTTCTCAGACTGAAGACTTCTAAATAATATACTGTGTGTGTGTGTGTGTGTGTGTTTCTACTTTTTGTGCCAGATTGTTATTATGTAAATTACATAAACAGATTTGTTCACTCTTCTCTAGTATTGACCTTTCAGACAGTGCAGTTGGCATCCTTTCCTAAGAACTGCTTCTAGGTAATTGCTAGATAAGTCACAGACGGCATGTTGTTTTCACCGAAGGTTTTTCTGACCATAGACTTGTACCGGGATAAAAAAAAAAAGTAGTAAAGAATAGTCATAGTGCTATGTGGCTATGCAGAAAGCTCTGCATTTATATGTAATCAGCAAGTATTGTGGTCACTTGTACATATGTACAGCATATGCTTTAAAGTTATAAATAACTGGTGAACATTCATTGTCAGCCACCTGGAGTGCATCTGTGCTATGGAGAAAAATGGTTGCACCTGCATTCCCCCTCCACAGCTGAGTTTACCTTTCAAGGATAAGTGTCCCCTGACCTCTCCTAAACTACTTTCCCCCTCCACAGATGCATACTTACCTTGACTGCACAGCGGTGGCTGTTTACATTCAACCCTCCAAGGCATCAATGTCCAGACTGCCCCTCTGCAGTGTTGCCCCAAGGATGGAAACTCTCTTTGGGGCTGTAACATGCAGATGTGCCCAGGATGTGGCATTGGATCTAAACGGCAGATCCATGGCCACTGGAATAGTTTAGGCATGCATCTGTGCAGGGGGGTGGTTTGTTAGATTAGGTCAGGTAAAAGGGAGCAAAAAGGATGTGCAAAAGTGTACTTTGTGCACGTATCCTATAAGTGTACTGCTTCGTACAATGTGTGTAAACCCAAGCACTAACATCTCATGTAAGCATTAACATTTTAATGCTTTTTCTAGGGATGCACTGGTACCATTTTTTTCCAGACCGAGTACGAGTACCGATACTTTTCCTCAAGTACTCACCAATTACCGATACCTTTTTTTTTTTTTTTAGTGTCATGTGACAGTTTTTCTAAACAATACAGACTAATGATTTTGGGACAGTGATGGAGTGCCAGGGCCTGGCCGCAGCTTCAACCCTGGTAGTTCTACCACTGACTCCAAACTGTAGAGGGACTACAAACCCCAGCAATACATTATACAGCAATGCAGAATATCACCAGCTATAGAAGGCTACAAATCTCAGCAATACATTATACAGCAATGCAGAATATCACCAGCTATAGAAGGCTACAAATCCCAGCAATACATTATACAGCAATGCAAAATAAGATAAAGCTACATACTCTGTGTTGCTCCAGGATGGCGGTCTCATATCTCCAGGGTCTCAGGAAGGCTGTGCGGGGTCTCGAGTGGGCTTTGGGGGTCTCAGCAGAGGTCCAGAGGGTTTCAGCAGGATTCCGGAGGGTCTCACTATTGCTCCGCAGGGTCTCGCAGGCGGGTGCGAGGTCTCAGGAAGCGCTGTAAGAAGAGCTGCATGGTTTCCCAGAAAGGAGGAGGAGATATGCGTGCTGGCGCTGTAAACAGGTGCCATGGTTCACAGGAAGGCTGTCAAGATCCCCAGCCAGTGCAGGACCTCAGGCAGCTGCTTCAGTTAAAAAATGTAAAGAGCCAGTATCGGCGCTGAGTATCTGGCATTTTCACAAGTACAGGTACTCGTGAACATGCTCAGTATCGGCATCCCTAGTATTTCTGAATCTACAGCTTTTAATAAAGTAATACCTGGCATCTTTACATGAAGGTCCTTGCTCAGGAATTTCTTGTTCTAGGGTAACAGTGTTCTTTCCCTGTGACTGAAATAAGGCTCTGTATTGTCGCCTTGTCACACGGCTTCCAATAGAAACTACAAGATTTAACACACATTATGCAGGCATACCCCGTTGGTATCAGAAAATTCATCATTAGAAATGCAGCCTTTGCTGGAGTGCATGCATGTAGACAGGAAATGGCTGCAAAGAGGCTGCAGAAGATAAGCAGCAAATATTTACGATACACAGTGCTTTAACAAATCAAATGTTATTCAGTTACTGTTTTACTTTATTAATTTTGCACAGTTTTTTTTATATATTAAAAAAGTATAATAGCCTTTTGTCAATATTATTTTACCGTATTTCAAGTTCAAAAACGTAAAAAAACATCAGTTTATAAACTTTTAGTGACATTTTACAAAATAAATATTTCATACAGTGGTGCTTATATGATACACCAGCTTGCAAAACCTTTCTGATAAGTATTGACTGAAGAGATGCCAGTCATACGGGTCATGCTTTGTAGAGTGGTTGACTCCTGCATTATTTTTTAATCAAGCAGTTTTATATATGGATACTGTTCTTGGGAGATATCTGATTGATGGCAGATTCTTATGTGCTGCATCTGGTCTGCAGATGAAAACGGTGTTCTCTGTTCAGTATTTATGAGTTATAAGTAGTGACGGCTTCTTCACACCATGCAAGATTTTAGGAAGGAGAGCTTTGGAAGTGCTTACTTCACATTTTCTTGTAGCAACTGACTGTTTGGGAAATGACTTTCTAATGAGAAATCTCATCAGAAATCCCAGCATTGCTTCTAAGCCTGGAATTATTATGTGTAGGTGAGTAAGATAGACTTTTATTTTTAGTTTCAGCTAGAGTGTGGAACGTTTGGAAC